CACTACCCCTACCGCCACTACTACCGTCTTCCCCCGAACATAAGGCACCCTAAAAATGAATGTATACAAGCTATGTTTCCAGCCAGATACAGCCAAAATCAGGGTGCGTTGTGTTCAGGGGAAGACGTAGTCGTGGAAGTGGTCGTATCTGAGATGGTAAGAGTGGTGGTATTACTAGCAGTGGTAGTAGTGGTGGTGGTAGCAGTCGTAACATTCATAGCAGCAATGGTAGCGGTAATAGTGGCACTGGTAGTAGTCGCGGTAGTGCTAACAGTTGTGGCAGTGGTTCTGCATTTTTTTCATTTTTCAATTTTCTTGAGAAACAACCAGCCACAGCCTACTAGCTGGAGTGGCAAAAGCATGTCCTCCCAGTAGCCTGCCGTGGGGTGCTCCAGTCTATTGGTGGGAAGCAACACCTGCTGGAAACCAGGTCCAGCATCCCATATACATCACAGAAGATAACTGAGTACCGGGCCCATCACCCGGCTTCGGCTTACAGAGTAGCAGTAGTACTACCAACAGTGGTACTATGGTAGTGATAGATGTAGAAATACAAAAGATGATGAATCCATGGTACTGGTCGTAATAGAAGCAGAACTTTACTTGCCTCATCAGTGCTTTCTTTGTGCCTAGCATCCCGCAATTCTCCTCGAGTACTTGAAAGAAGCTTTCCCTGATCATTCCGAAAGGCAACTGTTAGCAACTTAGCAATTGACATTCTGACCATGATCTACTCTAACCACAGTGACGATCCAAACATCCACTCAGGTATATGGATTGCCTGGATGTCATAGTCTGCACCCTCAGATAAATTTGAAATATATGATGATTTCCTTTTCTCTCCCCTTCCTTTAAACAGTGCCACATGGCTATGGCTCCCTTCCATTCTCAGGAGGAACAATCTGGCTTCGTTTCCATTGGCAAGTCATTTTAATACATAAAGAACCTAGGAAGATTCTCATGACCGGCCGGTCTGGACCGGCCGGTCACCCGGGCGTGACGCTCGGGGGGGTCTGACACCCGGGATACCCGGGCATGGGAATTTTTTTTTTTTTTTTTTTTTTTTCTTGGACCATTTCTCGATTTATGCGTGTCATCCTTGCGCAGGGGCCATGCTAATCTTCTCTGTATCGTTCCAATTTTAACGGATGTCCCGAAGGACATGGGAAAAAAAAAATAAAAAAAAAATGGCGGTGGCCCGTGGGGTTTTTCTGCGATCTCCGAGAGGAGCCCAAATCCAGGCTCTTTTCCTTTTTCGAGAGTTGGCTGTCAAGGGGGGGGAAGGGGTGCACAAATGAATTTTAAAGGGGCTAAAGGGGTTGAAAGGGGGGTGCCTTAGTGTGATTCGGTTATTTTTTCTTTATCTTCAGTTCCGTGAGGAATTCTGATGTGACCCTCAGCCAAAAGTTGTTTGTATTGCAATCCTACACAACATATTTTTTATTCATTTTTTTTCGGAGCTGGGGCTGCCCGGGCCCATGCCCGGCCGGTCACCCGGTCGCCAAACCAGGCGTGATGTCAGGACCCGGGTGCCCGGGATATCTCCCTAGTAAAGAACCCACTTGCACGCTATTCACTACTATGGCTGAGAGACCCGGCGCCTTGCTGAAACATGAGGAATCGGTAAGCGGTACTAGAAACCACTGCGAGGAACAAGCCCTCAAGGGGCCCTATCAGACATCACATGATCTGGGCTAAGGCCCCCAGCAAGCCGAGTGCCCACCCTAAGTGAAGGCGGGCCTGAATATTCGTCAGAGGCAAAATTCGACATTTCCATATGTGGGTATTCAGGCTCTCGCAGCACGCCAGTTGGTTGGGTAGACTTGTGAGCCTCACAAAGCTGCGTCATACAGTTGGCCCAGGCCTTGACAGTTGCGCCTGGGCGCATACACACAAAGCAGGGCCGATAAATTGGGAAGCAGGCCATCGGCCTTTGCTGCAACAGTACTACCGACGCACCTGCCTGGGAGCCGTGCACAGATGCACCAAACAGCCCAAGTCCGGAGACTCAGGCCGTGCCCAACGGAAAAGGGCCCAGGCCCTCAATTGTAGTCTCGGGCCTGGGCGCAGGCCCAACCGGAAGCTACTGGAAGCTTCCAGCCAGGCCACACGCAGCATCCAGGAGGCTGCCACTTCCATAAAAGAAGAGAGGCATTCCAGGCCAGGCATTCTGGCCAGTGCAGGCAATGCGGAAGTGCTGCTGCGCTATCGCTTGATGCTGCGCTCCTGCCAAGGGCACTGACGGGGCGCATAGTGATGAAGTGGGGCGCTGCAGGGCAGCGGGGCGCAGGCAGCCATAGCCAGGCTGCTGGGCGCCGGGGGGTGTAGCGGACGATCTGGTGGTCTTCAGGGAAGGAGGCGAGTGTGGGGTAATCAAGGTCTGATTGAGGGTGACGAGATACGTACCTGGTGCATGAAGAGAGGTCAGCTATGAAGTTGACAGTCGTGTACATTGGTCTTCGAGAGTCGAAGTGAGCCGGTTGCGTGAACCAGCTGTAGGTACGATAATCGGGCAGAGTAGGTTGGGCGCTGGGCGCCAAACAGAGAGGAGCGACTTCGGATACTGTGTTGGTGTGGCCTACGGGCTTGAACATTGGCTCATTACTTCATTGTATTGCTCTATATGGATGCTTCCTCGGTGCATTTTATTCTCTGCTTGGATACGACTACCTGGACATCTGTGTGATTTCGCAACTTCGTTTTCTGTATATCGTTCACACCAGGGTAACCGGCGTTCGGGACGGGCCGAACGCCCGAACCTGAACGCCCGAACGCATTGGACCCTTTGGGGATGTGTTCGGTCGTTCGGGCCGAACGCGGAACCAAAAAAAAAAAAAAAAAAGAGAAAAAAAAAATCTGAAAAAAAGATATGTTATCATTGTTATGAAGAAAAATAAATTGAAGTTATTAAACAAGATTTGCCTGAGCATTACATCCAAATTCCTTACCAAATTTGAAATAAAAATAAAATACGAAAAACAAATGGGAAAATTTTTGAAATGCCCCTGAAGTTTGCGTTTATTTGCGATTTGCCCCTCCGACGGCCGACTTACCCTGATTTGCCCCTCCGACAACGATTCAAGTTTCCAAAAAAAACCTGGCGTCAATTGGGCCTCAAATATGTTCAATATGCCCCTACCGGTACCAGTGCCAAATTCCAGTATGCCCCTACCGGAGAGCCGATGGGTACCAGTGCCAGATTTCCATGCTACGTCAAGCCAACTCCTACC